GACCAAGCAGAGTATACATCGCAGGACCTGCGATGGGTGGACAGCGGCAACAACATGTTCGAAAGGAACGGGATATATGCAACACATAAACGGCCGGAGACGGCAAAGGCAGCGGTACGGGAATAGGTATACATGGCACCATAGCAGCGTACGTGGAGCATCACAACTGCCAACACCGGATACACGACCGCCGTGCGGAAATAGAGACCGGCAGCGAAGAGGTGCCGAAGGGTGTCGGAGAGGCATGGAGGCACGCTAACACGATCACATATGTACCTGCTATACACGCCAGAGCCGCTTCAGGCAATAGGCATTTCGAACGGACGGACGAGCGGCAAGAGCGACGGATGGGACCCCGTATGTGTCAGCGCAGGAGACTGCAGACAGACGGCAGTGGCAATCCGGAAGGAATGACAGACAGTCAGACGGTCAGACGGAATAGCGTGGGTGCAATCATATAACACGGAGTGACAGGAGGGCGTGTATTTATAATCCAGACACAAGACTGTGCGGGCAGTGCATCGCATCGCACCTCATCTGATGCGCCGACACATACGGACGCCAACTCATCGCACACTTAGCGCGCGCGATGGAGACCTCGCAGGAAAAGCGCGGCATGGAAATGCTCGGCACCAGGAACCACGATACACGCAAATATGCAACGCATTGCAGCGACGATGCGTGACGGTTGTGCAGAAGCAGGGCCGGATATCGCGAAAACTCGCTATGTCGAAAAAGCAAGAGAAATAATAAGCAGCAAGATGAACACCGGTAATACAGACTAATTATCGCGGCCGTTAAGCACTTGCTTTGACACGCAATATACATACATCTAAAATAAACAGTTCTACACAAAACATGTACAAGGAGAACTGACATAAAATAGTTTGCGCGTGCATAAAAAGAAACGACACCAAAGTTGTCGTACACATGTTAACATGACGTGATTCCGCGGACATCGTGCACACGTATGCGTGGACACCGTCACAACGGCGAGTCGCTATGTCGTAGTAAAGGATGTACGTAAATAAAAACGAAAACCGACACAAAACGAGGTCATGCAAAACAACGTATGTCGTACACTTGCTGGCACGTTCTCGTGCGACGGACAAGCACTAACGTGCCGACACGCACATATGTGCGTTGCGTCATAATGCACACTTACCGCGCCTAACGGAGGACAGCGAAGAGAACAGCACGAAGGCTTGCCGGAGCAGCAGCTTCAACACATGCAAACCTGCACGACAGCGCAAAGGTCGGGTGAAGACAAGCCCGGTAATCGGGGCAATTCGTTATGTCCAACCATCATATACGCGAGTGGGACACGCACAACAGAGCATATGCGTGATTGCGGTATGTGTGTTGCGTCATAATGCACACTTACCGCGCCTAACGGAGGACAGCGAAGAGAACAGCACGAAGGCTTGCCGGAGCAGCAGCTTCAACACATGCAAACCTGCACGACAGCGCAAAGGTCAGGTGAAGACAAGCCCGGTAATCGGGGCAATTCGTTATGTCCAACCATCATATACGCGAGTGGGACACGCACAACAGAGCATGCTTCAGGGAGAGCGGGGAAGCGGCAAGAGGTGGATACGAATGAGACACGCACGAATGTCAAACCGGTACAGCATTCGTGCGTCAACACCCTAACTTATACCAGCGAAACCGGTCATACCGTTCATACACTCACCAGTGTAGATGCGAGGGACGCCGCCAACTTGTGTGGGAGTCGAACTCACAAGTGCACGGAATGCACCCAGCCCTGCAAGCGTGTCGTTGCGCGGCTAGACAGCCGCTCAACGCTGGCATTTAACGCCATCCAGGGGCGGCTAGATGGAAGTGAAGGGAGGGGACAGGTGCAAGCCATAGCGAAGTTGGACGACGTGCAGCGGACGGCAGCGCAAGTGGATGAACACGCAAGAACGAGTCATTCCTGCAGAGCCGTGATGAATGTTGTTCGACCTTCTGTCTTGGTGGTGATGGTACCGGTGATGGTGAACGAGTCGTAAGCAGCGTACGCCATACGATCATTATCGTCTGCGAAGCTGGTGCTGCCGAAGAACTCGTCGTAGTTCGGCAACTGTTGCATGACGGCGATGCTGTCGGTGCACACCGGATAACTGCGGCTGCCGATTGTGAGGACGAGCGGGAGGACCGGTAGTGAGCCGACTACAGTGACAGAAGTGGGGTTGGGTGACAGGGTGGCCGAGGCGTGTGGACCATCCGACGGTAAAACAAGGGCACTGCGGCTACGCTGCTCCCAAGCCAATACCATATCAGTCGTGTCGGCGGGCACGGTGGCCGCGGTAGTCCGCTGAACAGCCGCCTGGAAGGTGTGCACTCGTTTGGGAGGGCGTTTGCCGGGGGCACTCGCTGCTGCTACAAGCGAGCCGCTGAGGAAGACGCTATTCATATAAGCTTTGCTATTGGAGGGGCTGATCTTGGCACCATACACGTAAAGGGGCGTGCTGCTATCGGCCGCTGCTTGTAGCTGAGCGACGAAGTCGTCGGGAGCGGATTCCCTGATGGCGAGCTCCACGCGTCCGGCGTCGGGACTGTCACCGTTGCCGCACGCGACCCACGCCTTAAACTTGCGGAACGGCCCGTCCCGGAACATCCCGCCGTGTGGGATGAGCAGGAGGGCGCTGCCATCCGACGCGTGCTTGTCTTCGGGGCGGGCCCTGTCGCTGCCGACATCGTAAACGGGGAACCGAAGCCTGGCGCTGTAGAGCATTGGGACAGCGGAGGAGGGCTCCACGGAAATCCGCGTCGCTGAGGAGACTTTAAACTGCCCCACCGTCACCCCAGCGAAACGAGAAGTTATGAAAGGCGGCAGGGAAGCTGCATCCACGTTGGCGAACGTCACGCGGTGGCCGAACGCGTGGCTGCTCTCCAGCCTGCCGAGGATGACATCGTCAATCTGCATAATTACTATCCCCTGGCCGGCGGTATTCACGCCAGCGATGAAGCTGCCGTAGCGGCTCTGGGCGCCGGCAAAGAGGCGGTCCTCATTCGTTTCTGTGGGGCCGGCCGTAAACGTCACATGAAACGTGACGCTCCTTGAATCCCTACGTGTTGCAAAGGGGCGTCAAATGGGGAGCGTTACACGATATTCAAGGTGCATGCGAGCAGCGATGAACGTGACGGAAGACATCTGTGCTTAACAGGCAGCGGCCAAATATGCGCGCCGGAGCTGATAGATGCGTCTATTTCGCACGGTGAGAGGCGGAGCGTAAGTACCTTACTGGTGTGAACACGCTCTTTGCATGTAGCAGCTCGCTTACGTGGCGACGGCGGGAGGGCCGACCGTCGACGTGCTGCTCTGGGACGCAGCCGTGTCCAGCCTCTGACGCTTGGCGTCCGGTGGGTCGATACTACTGCGGGAGTTGGTCGAAGGTGTAGAAAGTCAGGAGATGGGATCGGATAAGGTTCGCATAACGCATAACAAGGTGTCGCATATGTTCGCATAACGCATAACGCATAATGCAAAACACGGGACGCAGCAACGCAAAGGATGCGAACAGCGTATTTACGCACTAGAGCAACGCAAACCGACCTGCTGGTCACCAGGGTGCGACATCGCAGATTGTAGGACGATGTAGGCTCTAGGCGTTGTCGCTTGGGGTCCGGCGAATCCATCCGGCTGCGAGCGTATGTCTGAAAACAGGTATGTCTGAAAACGGTGGAGGCACTTGGAGTAAGCAGGCTTGCAAAGAGGTAAGTGCAGGATAAGTGGGGAGGAATCGGCGCGCTAACAATTATACATCCGCGGCAGCGTGTCGTATAGATGACAGATGTCCGAGGATCGGCAGACGCGGACATTGGACGCGCACGCGCCGCGGCTGCGAGCCTGGTCCAGCTGCCAGGTCGCGTGATTGCGGTGGCCTTGAACGACTCCGAAACAGGAGTAGAGTTATACAGCGAAGACAGGCGTGGTCAGGCGATAACGCGGATTGGTGCCAATTCGTGTGATTGTGGCCGCGTCTAGCGAAACCGAAGCTCAACATCGGACGCAGAACGTCGCCAACTCGCGCGATTGCGGTGACCTTTAACGACTCCGAAACAGGAGTAGAGTTATACAGCAAAGACAGACGTGCTTAGGTGATGATGCGGATTGCTGCCAATTCGCGTGATTGCGGCCGGGTCCAGTGAAACCGAAGCAGAAACGGAAGCCGGTAAAGACGCGGATAGCTGAGATTTCGCGGTAATAAAAGGATGTATACGCATGAGGTCGCCGCAGCGAATATGTAACGGGTGCGGTGCGGTGCGGTGTGTGTGCGGTGTGGGCGCGGTGCGGCGCGGTGCAGACTAGACGGTGCGGAGCGGTCCCGAACGAAAAATAGAAGAAAAAAACGTGCGGGCGCCGGGCGAGGAAGCCAGCGAGCCGCAACGTAAACGTAAAAAAAAGGACACATCGACGCGCCGGCGCTGGGGTCGAACCGGCGACCGCGGCTCCCACTATACATCGGAGCTAGCGTGCCCGACGAAGTGGCGCACGGCCATGCTCCGGGGCGCCTTCCGCGGGGACAGGTGTGGTGCGGCGCGGCGCGGGGCGCCAAACCGAACGAAGGAAGAATACGAAAAAAGCGGCGACGGCGGGACGCGAACCGACGACCGCGGCTCCCACGCGGCGACGGAGCTAGCCTAAAAGGCGCGGCTCCGAAACCGCGGACGACACGACTAAAAACGCGAAAACAGCAAGCGGCCACCCGGACGGACGGACAGACGGACAGACAGAAAGTTGGGGTAAGGTCTCCGTCCCGACGACGGAACGACTAAACGTCGTCCGTCTAACGTCGGGACTACGACTACTAAACGTCGTCCGTCTAACGTCGGGACTACGACGACCGGACAGCGAACTCCGGATAGGCCTCCGCTCATAACATACGAGGCGCGGTCCCTGCGGTCCCGAGGGTGCCGTAGCTCTCGTTCGGGTCCGGTCTGCATATGCTTGCACATCGCATATGCTTGCAGATCGCATATGCTTGCACATCGCATAATATGCTTGCAGATCGCATCTGATTGCAGATCGCATATGCTTGCAGATCGCATATGCTTGCAGATCGCATATGCTTGCAGAGCGCATATGCTTGCACATCGCATATGCTTGCAGATTGCATACGCTTGCACATCCCATATGCTTGCAGAGCGCATACACTTGCAGATCGCATATGCTTGCAGATCGCATATGCTTGCACATCGCATATGCTTGCACATCCCAAATGCTTGCAGATCGCATATGCTTGCAGATCGCATATGCTTGCAGATCGCATATGCTTGCAGATCGCATTTGCTTGCAGATAGCATATGTTTGCATACTGCATTGCTTGCATACCGCATATGCTTGCAGATCGCATTTGCTTGCAGATCGCATATGTTTGCATACTGCATTGCTTGCATACCACATATGCTTGCAGATCGCATATGCTTGCGGATCACATATGCTTGCAGAGCACATATGCTTGCACATCGCATATGCTTGCAGATCGCATATGCTTGCAGATCGCATATGCTTGCAGAGCGCATATGCTTGCACATCGCATATGCTTGCACATCGCATATGTTTGCATACTGCATTGCTTGCATACCGCATATGCTTGCAGATCGCATTTGCTTGCAGATCGCATATGTTTGCATACTGCATTGCTTGCATACCACATATGCTTGCAGATCGCATATGCTTGCGGATCACATATGCTTGCAGAGCACATATGCTTGCACATCGCATATGCTTGCAGATCGCATATGCTTGCAGATCGCATATGCTTGCAGAGCGCATATGCTTGCACATCGCATATGCTTGCAGATCGCATATGCTTGCAGGTCACATATGCTTGCAGATCGCATACGCTTGCACATCCCATATGCTTGAAGATCGCATATGCATAGCATAGCATAGCATAGCATAGCTTTGGCGCAGCATAGCATAGCATAGCATAGCATAGCATAGCATAGCATACCATAGCGTAGCATAGCATAGCATATATGCATATATAAAACATAAAAACTTTGCATATGCATATGCAAAATATATTTTGCATATGCATATGCAAAATATATGCACATATGCATATGCAAAATATATGCACATATATGCATTGAATTGCATATGCATATGCATACGTGCAATATATAAAACAAAAAAACATAAACGCGCTGGGGGTCGAACCGGCGACCTTCCGTTCTTTTCGGCGCGGTCTTTAGCACGTACGGCACGCTCCCGAGCCGGAATTTCCAAAACGCCCCGGACAGACAACCGGACAGCAGACGGACGGACGGACAGCGGACGGACAGCGAACTCAGGATAGGCCTCCGCTCATAACATATGAGCTACGGCGACTAGAGCGCGCTGTTCGCGCGAGTGGGCCGTAGCTCCGTAGCGGCGCTGACGCTGAATTGCACGCTAAATTGCGCGTTGCACGGCGTTGTCGCAAGCGCGTACGGCATAGCATAGTGCGTACGGCATAGCGAAGCATAGCATAGCGCGTACGGCATATCACAGCATAGCATAGATCGTATATGCTTGCAGATCGCATATGCTTGCACATGGAATGTGGCATATGCTTGCAGATCGCATCTGGCATATGATTGCAGATCGCATATGCTTGCAGATTGCATATGCTTGCAGATCGTATATGCTTGCAGATTGCGCGTTGCACGGCGCTGTCGCAAGCGTGTACGGCATAGCATAGCGCGTACGGCATAGCGAAGCATAGCATAGCGCGTACGGCATATCACAGCATAGCATAGATTGTATATGCTTGCAGATCGCATATGCTTGCACATCGAATGTGGCATATGCTTGCAGATCGCACCTGGCATATGATTGCAGATCGCATATGCTTGCAGATCGCATATGCTTGCAGATCGTATATGCTTGCAGATTGCGCGTTGCACGGCGCTGTCGCAAGCGCGTACGGCATAGCATAGTGCGTACTGCATAGCGCAGCATAGCATAGCGCGTACGGCATATCACAGCATAGCATAGATCGTATATGCTTGCCGATCGCATAGGCTTGCATATCTCATATGCTTGCACATCGAATGTGGCATATGCTTGCAGATCGCAACTGGCATATGCTTGCAGATTGCATATGCTTGCAGATTGCATATGCTTGCAGATCGCATATGCTTGCACATCGAATGCCGCATATGCTTGCAGATCGCATCTGGCATATGCTTGCAGATCGCATATGCTTGCATATCGTATATGCTTGCAGGTCGTATATGCTTGCAGATCACATATGATGCACATCG